AGAGAGAGAGTGGGAAACGAACGGTTAAGGAAAGAAGGGAAGAAGGGAAGAGCGAAAGAAAGAGATGTGGCTACATGCCCGGCGGAGTGAAGGAATGCTGCTACCAGATCTCTGAGAGTTTACCTTTATTTGCTGTTCGAAGGCATCGTTCTGAATTCACTGCCTTTAATTTCTTCCTCCTCTCTGTTTTAGATGTTACACATAACAGAAAAATACCTGAATATCCAATCGTAGAGATCACAAAAAGGGGGCTTAAATGTAAACCTAAAGGAAAACAAAACGAAACAACAAAATAACAGCAAAATTATTTTGAAAAAAAAAAAAAAGCCTTGATTTTAAAAGAGAAGAAAATGTAATTTAAACAGAAGTTTATTATAAAGTCAATCCAGCAAAAAAACAAAAAATAACAAAAAAAGATTTGCTACAAAGTATAGACAGAAGTATAAAATAAAAATTATTGTTTGAAATGAGGCTGTCGTCCTTTTTATAAAATACCCCTAGAGTATCTTGAAAAGGAGAGGGTTTTTGAGGCAAGGAAAGCTAAATCCAGAACCGATCCTTTGATGAACATTTCGGTTCAAACAAGGATAAAAATTCTGAAGTGGTTAGTCCCAGTCTCCCTACACACACACACACCTTCTTTTTTTCTTTTCCTTTGTTCATTTCCCACCCCCCCCAACTATTTCTCAGAAACACGCTATCAGTCCTTCCACCCTCCTCCTCCTCCCGAAGCTCCCAAACCGCAGCACCCCCGTTTCCCAGCTGCCCGGAGCCGGCCAAGGAGCCCCGGTGCGGGGGCGGGCGCGGAGCTGCGCGGAGCTGCGCGGAGGGAGGGCAGGGCAGGGCAGGGCAGCAACCACCATTAAGGAGGAGGCTGCGAAGCAGGAGCCGGGGAGCAGAAAAGCCCTTTCATAATTAATAAGGCAGCTCAGCCGAAGGAGCAAGGGGAAGGGGCGGGGGTGGGGAGGGCGGGTATTGATTTCGTAGCAGAAGCTGCTCTAACCTCGGCTATTTATAGGCGCCTGATGCCTTTATAAAGAAATACACATCAAAGACTAAACACGTCCTTTTTTTAACTTATAAGGCGATCGGGGGTGGGTGGCTGAGTGGGTGATGGGGAGGTAAGGGCCGCGAATTTGTTTGAGGTGATTGATTCCGGTAGGGAGCCGCTGCCAGTGCGGTAGCTCTCCTTAGCCAATGTGTATGGTGTCAGGGTCACTCCTATCCCTGCTCCCCTTCCTTCCCAAGGTCTGCAATGTAATGTGTAAGCAATAGCAAATGTAACAGTTCATAAATCAAACAGTGGGTCGCAAGCCAATCTGCATTTCCCAAACGGATTGAATCCCAGCAACGAATGCGCTCAGGAGCTGGAGCCAGGCGCCTTTAGCACTGGAAGCAATGTTGATTTTTTAATGATAAAATACATTATGCGTGTGTTGGGGGGCGGGGGTGCTTTACAGAGCTCAGCCTCGCTTCAGCAGAGACAGGTCTGCTTGCATTTCGGTTTCCTTTGCCCTCCCTCTAGACTCTTATCCCCACCACCACCAAAGAAAAAGGGAAACCCTGGAGAGCAGAGCTTTGTTTAAATGGTTTGGGTTGTTTTGCCTCTCCACAGAGGATCTAGACCTAAATTGATTTTTTCTGTGCACATCTCTATATTCATGAGGTCAGGAGATGCTTTTATGATTTCTTGCAGCACGAAACACAAGCTGCTGAGGAGAGAGGGGGAGAGACAGCCCTTGTTGGGGTCTGAGGGGCTCTGCAGCCTGCTGTTGCTGTCTCCACCGGCTGGGCCCGGGGACTTGTGGCCGGCGGCAAGGAGCCCTCTACCCCCCAGGGTGACCGTGCGGCGGTCCCACCCGTGGCCGGAATTCCTCCCCTCCCTGCTGCTCCCGCCGCAGCCCCGGCTTCCCGGCTGCCAGGCCGTGTCCCCCCGGCGCACGACCGTGG